AAAAGAAAAAGAAGAAGAATAATAATAAAAGTAGTAGTAGTAGTAGAGAAAGGATAGTTGGATTTGAGTTTTTTAGTAATAGTTAAATTTGTAAATAAATAAATAAATAAATAATAAAAATTTTAAAGAATAATTTATATATACCTTAGGTATATATACCTAATCATATGATATATATTAATTCAACAAAATTTTATAGTTATGTGATAATCAGCAGAATTTAACTAACAATAAGCTACAATTTAGTATAATGTAATACAAATATTCATTTTAAAAAAATCACTTATTTCTCAAAAATTTGTATAAAAAATTACCTTTAGAGTACTAATTAATATTTTTTTCAAGCAATTTTACTATATATCCTGCTAAACTCTAATTCTAATCTAAAAACTCTAATTCTAAAGTAAGTGAGGTTTCACTTTTTTTAGTTATTATATAACTGTAAAAAATTGTTAGTAATGCTATATATTATACTTTTGAAGAACTTAATAAATACTATATAATATGTATAACTAAATTATATATCATACTATACTAGTATACCAATAGTTCTATTATATATATATGTATATATAATTGCTATAGATTTTCTTATTTTACATATACATATATTTGTACAATTACTAAGTTATATATATATTAAATACAGTATTATTAAAATATAGTACTAAGATAGAATCTACAAGCAGAGAACCTGTATGGTAGAAATCCCGAGTTTGGTGAAGTAGTATAGATTTTGATAGTCAAGCTGGTTAACACCTGATCTAATGAAAAACTTGAGTATGAAGGATGTGAGATTAATAGGTGCGAGTAAGTCTACTATGTAATGCAGCCTGGTGCCTTGTATTAGCAGCAACACTAACTTGGCTTGGCAGCTAACTAAATTGGAAGGATCTATCTCATAAAACATCTAGCTGAAACTTGGAAGACTATATCTAGTGGATGGTCACAGCAGGAACTAGGTTTGTACAAACATCGACAAGGGTCTAATTCAGATGAATCTGTGAAATAGACACATGACTACTCTGGTAGGAATTACTTCTGAGGTTAACTGAAGCTTTGCAGCTCACAATACATTAGGCATACATATCCTAAGAGGACCTAAGCTATACAGAAAATAGATCCACAGATAAACTAGCTGGCTTAAGCAGTTGGTCATAGTGGTGACGTTAGTTTGGGATAGAGGGAAGGGTTAATAATTAGAGTGTTTAAATAGGTAACTCACAGGCAGGTTGCAGATATGGTAGCATAGTGTAGAACTAACAGATGGTCAATTGTCTGTATAGCAGACTACTTAAATTAGACAATGACTAAAGTTGTACGTGTAGCTTGTTGTACACTCATCATGTAATTGTAAAATCTTAGGAAACTGTTCATGTGATAGTTCTGTAATAACAAACTAATAAAATCTAATCGACCAAGGAAGTGGTCTTAATAATATAAAAAAAAATATATATATAGTACTAATGCTCAGTACTTGCAGAACTCTATATAGTATTAAGTCATAATAGTATTACTATCTTGTTATATTTTGTTTTTCTTGATTAACATTTAGCAAATCATCATATACAATTGCAAAAAAGTTTTTATATATTAATAATCTATATAATATCAACTATATAAATATTTAAATAATTTAATAGATATAAAGATTAAAGTGATCTAATATTTTTACTCTGCAATTTATAAATAGTGACTATTAAACTATATATTTAAATTAGTTTATACAAACTCAAACTCATATTAATTAAGCAATTAAATTAAATAAAAGCAAATATGCAATGTATAAGTAATAAGTATATAATAGAAATCTATTGTACCAAAGAATATTTTTTATAAACTACTAAAATTAGCTCTAATTATATAAAAACAAATAATAGTATTTAGAGTTCTAACATCTTATTCAGATAACTACATAATCTATTACCTGAACTGAAAAAATTATCAACTAGTTTATATTTTTTTCAAACTAGTTTTTTATGATATTCAGTTAAGTAAGTAGATATTCAGTTAATTCGAGTCAGTTGAATAAATAGATATTTAGTTGATCTTAGTATCTAGCATAAATAGATATTTAGTTGATCTGTATTCAATTAATAAATAATCAGCAATTTAATTGAATTAAAGTTTATGTATAACTCATATTGATATGTCTAATTAGTAATTAATATTAGGAGACGAATATGAGGAGTAACTAAAACAGATCAAAAAAATTTTAACTTATATTATCTTTTTTCACTAGGGTGCCAGTTTAGATTTAATTGAATTAAAGTACTACGATCATATATTAATATAAAAGTCAGTCTCTACTGTTATAGAGCTTTAGGACTTTTTAAGAGTATAACTCAACAAATTATCAAGATTTGATCAAAAAGTTCTGAAGCTCTATATATAAAGTTTATGCATAACTCATATCGATATACCTAATTAGTAATTAATATTGGGAGATGAATATGAGTAACTAAAACGAATTAAAAAAAATTTTTTTTTAACTTGCATTATCTTTTTTCACTAGAAGCACCAGTTTAAGAAATATTTCTTATTTATTCTAAACCTTATAACAAAAATTTATTCTACTAGTCTACTAGCTATTATTTAACTACTAGTCATTAACTACTAGCTATTATCAACTACTAGTCATTAACTACTAGCCATTATCAATCATCACTAGCCATTGTCAACTACTAGCTATTGTCAATCACTAGTTATTAACTACTAGCTGTTGTTTCATTATTTACTAGTTTGTTAACCACTAGCTATTATCTAACAGTTGCATATTATTACAAGTATAGCTGAAACAAATATTATAATAAATATATAAGAATAAAGAATAACTTACCTATTTTTACAATTCAAATACAAGCTTTAAATTTTCAAGTTAACAGGTATGATTGATTTTTTATTTAATTTTTAATAATATTTACTAAGAAATAATCAAAGGTAATAATTATTCAAAATAAGGTTGACCAAAACTAAACAGGCTGTAATATTTATTTCACTATGTCTGATTATACATATAATAGTAATGCACTTTTTTCAGCTAATAGAGGGTCATCTAAAGATGTAAAACTATCTGTAGATGATGAACTATTTATAGGTGATGAACTATTCATAAGCAATAAACTATTCATAGGTAATGAATATCCTAAAGCTAAAGAAAAAACAAAAAAAAGAAAAAAACAAGATAATTCTAGTATAGTGTAGGACTATTTTAAAACTGTAAAAATAGAAAATAGTTTTTTTGATATCTGTTAACTTTGTAAGCAAAAAGATATTACAGTAAAATATTTTCATAATTCTTCAACTAGAAATATACTTGGTCATCTTTGGACCAAACATAGAATTGATAAAGACTATCCTAAGGGAATAGAAACTAGTGACATGATCATAAAAGCTACGTATATTATTACCAAATATTACTAAGAAAAACTGATATAATGTTTAATTAAATTTATTATCGAGGATTGCTAGCCTTTAAATATTTTATACTATCAAGCTTTTTGCTGACTCTTAAATAATACTGAGTCTAGATATCAGATTCTCTGTGAAATGACTATGAAAAAAATAATTAACCTATCTTATAATTAGAGTTGAGATTAGTTATTTAGTTTGATGAATACTAATAGTAGATTTATAAATCTAATAATAGATTTATAGAGCTCAAGAATAAACAAAAGTTATATTGGAATCATAGCAACTTGGGTTAACTCAAATTTTGTAATAAGAGAGGTCTTATTAATAATTCAGCTACTTTTGTTACTCTATACAGCTAAAAATATTAAAAATTTACTTAACCAAGCTATTTTTGCATGGGACTGGCTGAACATATTTTTTGCATTATTACTAACAATGATATGAATATTAAAAAGACAATTGGTTTAATAAAAAATACTATATGATTAGCTTGTTCTGCTTATACACTTCAATTAAGCATATTAAAAGGCTTTAAACCTGCAGTACAACTAATCAAATAGGCCAAAAATCTTATTCTATTTTTTGCTCAAAGTCCTAAACAAATAGAACAACTCAGAGATGTACAAGAAAAGTGTAAATATTCAACAATTTATGAAATAACTAATGATATATTAACAAGGTAGAATTCTTTATATTTGGTCTGAATTTGACTTAGAGAATTACAAAAAGCAATTGATTATCTTGCTCTTATACTACTATTAGAGTATAAACATTGTGACCAACTTGATAGTGAATATTTGAAGTTAATAAACCTAACAACTAATGAATAGCAATTATTAGATGATCTTATCTTATTACTAAAGCTATTCTATGAAGCTACTACTATATTTTCTAGCTTAACTTATTCTATACTTAATCTTATTTATCCAACAATGAAACTATTTATTAAAAAGTTTATGCCTTCTGATGAACAAACTAAAAAGGATTATATCAATTTATTATTTGAATCTAAAGAACAAACAAATAACCAAAGTCAACTAATTGATAAAGAAAATTCTAATAAAAATTCTAATGAATCAAATATAGATGAATCTGTGACATCAACAATTTTGAAACAACTTTAGCAACTATTATATATATCACAAGGATAAAAAAAAAATAAAATTATAGAAAAACTAAAAAGAATACTTATAAGCAATATAAAGATCCATGATTTAAAGGTTTTTGTTTTTATATTTTATTTTTCTCTTAATTATACTAATTATCTTGATTTTTATTCTTTTTTTTCAGTAGCTATATTCTTCTAATATTAAATTTGTTTTGCTTTTTAGATCATTGTTTAATAGTACCACTTATAAATACTGAAGATTTATATTTTACCATTAAGGCTACAAGCTACCTCTCCCTTAAAGAATATTAGGAAGTTCCTCAAGAGATTAGCTTATTGTATTATTTTTAGATCTACAAATAAAAAATTTAAAATTTATTGATGATATTAAAATAAGAGATAATATAATAAGCATGGTATGAAGACTTTGAGCTAAAACTGAATATTACAGAACTTTAGGTCAAGTTTTAAAAAATGATGAACTTGTCAAGTTATCCAGTATATCAACTTCTAGACTCACAGTAACTAGTGATTTAATAACAGACTTATATAGTAATGAAGAATCAGATGAAATAATTAAAGAGTCTGAAGTTGATCACTATCTTTATAAACTTATTAAAAAAAGAATATGTGATCTATTGAAATAGTGAAGAGATAATATAAGAAAATATCCTATATTATTGAACTTGGCTCGAAAATACTTAGCAGTTCTTGTAATATCAGTTTCTTCTGAATGATTATTTTCAGATACAAGATTACATATCACAGTATTGCATAACTAACTTCAACTAAAAATAGTTAAACAAATATTGTTCTTCAAGTGCAATATGCAATATTTTTCTATTTTCAGTCTAGAATTCTTTTTTTTTTTTTTTTTTATGTTTAAGGTGGCTTACATTGCTGACGGGATTTTATTAGTATTTGCATACGGAATTATACATTGATAATCCTTACTGTTTGTAATTACATGAAGAGTGTACAACAAGCCACACGTACAACTTTAGTCATTGTCTAATTTAAGTAGTCTG